TAAATGTATTTACCCTAATAATATATATTTTTGAATACACTTAAATAAAACATGGAATGTATTTGCATGTGATTTAATGGATTTATTACTGTATAAATCCATTCCCATGGTCCAACTTAAACTATGTAAGTTGGATCAACTTCATGTATTGGTATTCTTTGACTACATACGACTTTATCAGTTCTGATCCAACCTTAAACAAATATTTGTAATCAACCCTTAATAAGTTAAGTGGAATAACATCAGTAAATGAAGTTGGGCCCAAGCATTATTAATAAGCTGAATTACCATAACGAATACATTAATTGACCCAACCCAAGTTAGTTAAGTTGGATGATGTTGAAAAAGAGTAATTTAATGGAGTGGAGGAGTGAATCCTAAAACCCCGGAAATGAGTTGACATTTGAACAACTCTGGTTTCTTTGTCTCAATACGTCAGTAATTACCCTATACTTTGAATATATATGTAAAAACATTGGTTACTATAGTAACAAGTGACTAAATGAAACCATTCAACATCAGGTCTTCCGTTGGCTTTGCCGTATGGACCTATGAGTCATGTTTGTTTAAAGCTTACTTTTTTACTTCTGTCAATTGCATTTAGGCTCCAGAAATCATAAAAGGTGTAAATATGTGGAGAGCTTTCTGCTTAACAAAACATGTACCAAAAAGGTTTGTTTACAGCAGATCTTCTTTTCTGCAATTTTACAACATCCAATGGAAAGTTCCCATTCATTTGTGTAAACGAAAATATGTCATTACTGCACCACTTTTCCTGAGGTGTTAGTTACATATCCTTAAAAGATGTATGGAAAGTTTTGCGAGTTAAGCTCTTAAACACTACTTGGAGCAAGAGTAGTGACAATGAGGCGCTCTGAGTCTGTATCATAGAGAGAGGTAGCAGCCAGATGAAGGAGCCGCGGGGTCTGCTGATTACTGGCTATTTTATTAGAGCAAAAATAGCATTTCATAAAGCTGACTCATGTTAACGGAGCTGATGAATGATGAACACTGGACAGTACTGTACATCTAAACATGTAGGGGGAGAGGCTTAAAGATATGATGCACGTTGTCTAAACAGAGGGGGGTTGATACAACATCTGAAAAGCTGTGTCACGGATGTAGGTACAACTAAGTATTGTCACATTATTTTCAAGATACCAATGTTTATGGTGAAAGCAAACATGGTTGAGTTAATATGTCTACATTATACAGGCGGCTGAGAGAATGGATGTAATAGAGACATTATTAAAAATCACATTCCAATCAGGGTTTCATATCTGTACTTCCCTCAGCATAGGGATCGTATATCTCTAATCCAGATATTGGAACAATGTGTCAGTGTCATACAGTAAAACATGATGTGTAATGACTCCACAGCGTTAATGTTGCTGTTTCTCAGGGCCTGGAAATGACCAACGTTAGGTTATGTGTATTGTTTTGTTCATGTTGTCAGACAATCTGTTTGTTATTTACTTGTCAAAAATATGTTGGAACCATTATACTATCCTGACATTTGACATGGGTTCTAACTATTGGGTCCATTAATGGTTAATAAATCATGTACTGTGTATCAATTTGAGCACAGTTATACATGAATATCTTGCTGTGGATGTCACTAAAAAATGTGTATTTAAAAGGTATAAATCAGGGGTGTCAAACTCAAGGCCCGGGGGCCAAATCCGGCCCCTGACTTCATTTGCTGTGGCCCCACAAGAGCTTGCAAAGAATATTATATGTTTATATTACAGAAGCACGTTGCCCTTAAGGCCCTGACACACCAGGCCGATTTCGGCTGTTTTCGTAAGTCGGGAGACGAAGCGTGTCCTGTCGCCCAAACTCAATTTGGTGTGTCCCACACCGTCGACCGTGACACGCCTTATTTGGACTGCCTGTCCCGATGCATGGCCGATCGGGTCTGGCAGTCGGACCAAACAATCACTCTGATTGGCTGTTCAGCTAGCGAATCAGTGCATGAGAAGCGAAACGGAAGTGAGGGACGTAAACAAACGATTTAAGAAGGCACACACAGACTGATATTCATTTTCATCTCATCATGGCGATCTGGAATGACGCAAACGAAGACCTGCTCATCACATTGATCCAGGAGAGGCCAGCTCTATACGACATCACAGAGAAAAGGTACTCGAACCGAGTAGTGAAAACCGGACTCTGGCGAGAGATTGAAACGCAACTTGGCTTCTCGGGTAAGATTATCTTTTTCATCAATTGAGCTCTTTAGCAGATACTGTTGGCTTTTTATTGTTTGCCAGCGTACAGTGACGTTAACGTGAAATGTAATTTGTTATTTCAACCTTGTGTTTTGTTGTTATCTTGTTGCTAGCTGTTGCTAGCTGTGCAGTTTGGCACTGCATATAGATATGAATTAGACATGCTAACTAGCCACAATGCTTACATCGTTTATTTGTGTGCTTCAGAGAAAGAGCTGAGGAAGAAGTGGGATTCTCTGCGAACCCAGTACACCCGGTACAGGAGACTTGCCCCTTCGGGTAGTTGTGGAGCACCAAAGACGGGCAGACAGCAGTGGATCATAACCAGGCTGCAGTTTGCACACGCTATTTGTTGTTGTTTATATCACGCAGTCTGTTCTTCTTCTCTGTCTTCCGGTTGTTGCCTATTTTTAATGACGAATACACACTACCGCCGCCTGCTGGTAAGGAGAGTTATTGCCACTCACGCACTGAAGTCTTTGCGGTGTGTTCCCGTGCGACACATGGCCAAGACGCAAGAGAACACCGCGACGCAACAGCCGGCGTCGGCGAGTCCTCTGGTGACTGCTTGGTGTGTCAGGGCCTTTAAACTACATGTCCCATAATGCATCTCAAATTAGACTTTTTTTCTCAAAATTTGACTTTTTTTCTTCTAAATATGCTTTTTTTCTTAGAATGTGCCCTTTTCTCAGAATTTGACTCTTTTTTTTAAATGTCACTTCTGTTTTTTGATTTTGACTTTTTTTCCAGAATTTGGCTTTTCTTTTTAAATCATTTTGTGACATGCACTGAAGAGACTTGCAATTATTTGCCACAGACTTCGGCTCCGAAAATAATCCAATGCAGAGACAATAATGTAATATAATACATTATTTTATATATATGTTTATACATGTCGTTTTATATAGTCTTAAAGTTACAACCGGCCCTTTGAGTGCAGCATAATGCTGATGTGGCCCGCGATTAAATTGAGTTTGACACCCCTGGTGTAAGTGATTAGATATCTGATTGATTTGTCAGAATATGTATTGTAATATAAATGTTGGCACTGAAGGGGGGCTTAATGACCCTTTTCAGTCAAACTGTGTAAACAGGAGGAAATAACACAAGCTTTTCTCGTGAGCATTCATTGTTTTCGTTTGTTCGATCATGTGATATCTGTGCTCGTAATTTCACAACCACACGTACAGTATAGAATAAAGTGATTGAAAAAATTGAATGAACTGAATTTAAATAAGAATTGTTTAAAGTTCTGGTTTGTGTGTGTAAATATTGTTCTTTCTTTTCACTCTTTTTTCAGCATCTTCCTAGACTAGAAACAAATACTTGAAATTGACGTGAAGAATATCATGCTGCATTTATTTATTAAGTGGGCCATCTTGAAACTTTATTTTCCCAAATCCCGACTGTAAACTGGTTACTAATTCTCTACAGAGCTACATATAATACTAACTGTTGTAGTGTTCTGTTTTGCAGAGTATACAATCAAAACAATGATTTCATACCAACTGAAAATTCATAATTTCTCAGAACGCACAAAAAGAAGATTTCATACTTTTCAATACATTTGTTCAGATGTGTGTTGGACATGTCCCCCACAGCTTCTCATTCCCCTTTGTGTTTCAATTGCCGTTAATAAGATGAAGCAAAAAAACCTTTCTTCCTGACTGCAGCTGGCCTTATCGTGACGCACATATTACTGTCTCCACACACGACATTCTTTATATGTCATAGAATATAGCCCGGTAAAATATGTTTTAACATTTCTTAACAAAACTGCACAGGATTTCCACTTAAGACAGATATATCTTAACACAATGTTCATGTTTTCCTTGGAATGTTACATGACGTATGCCCTGTATTTATCGTGGAACATCAATAAACTCCTTATGTTTGCAAGAGCACATGGCAATAAAAGTGACTCTTGCTTTGCCTGTGTGTTACACAGTTTAAAAGTAATATATATATTTATATATACGTGTGTATTGAACTGATAATAATTGTAGTAACTGTAATATATGCAAGAATTAAATAATGAAAATAATTAAACATGTGTTTTAAATGTACTGTTTTTGTGGGAACACACTAGAATGGACTCAATAATAATCTCTGTGATTTCATTTGAAGTATAAAGTGAGTGATTGGTCAGATTGCTGCAACTATCCAGGGAGAGCACTCTCTAACATCACCCATGTTGTGTAGCCTTCTCTATTTTGTCAGGGGAGATGCATAATGCATGGAGGCTGCGAAAAACACTATCAGCTTTTCCACTATTGTGACAAGAGCACCAGGAGATAGGCTGCATTCATTTGGAGCACTTCTAGTTGTTTTCCCAAGGCTGGATAAAGACATTGTTATCAGCCTGTTTGCCAACTTGAGTTTCCTTCTGTCTTCCTGAAAATGGAAAACTTAAGGGCTAGGATAAAGAAGCTGCAGAGGAATCATAAAATAAGTTTGAACTGTTATTAGACAGGGATTTTGATTGTCTAAGATGTGTTCCGACTTCAAAAGGCTTTGAGGATAGGTAAGCTTTGCATTCATGATTTGACCGAAGTGTAACAAAACAGCGCATTTCTGTCAGTGTGTCCGTCACATTAAGGAGAGTGTGTGTGTGAGGAGCATCGGTGTGAGCACATGGAGGGACTGACAAAAGAAAGAAACAACTGGAAGATTCCCGGGCCAAAATAAGACTTAAATCCACAACAAAAACACCTCATTCAGCAATATGAGGCAAAGCTCGTCTTAACACTCACAAATGCAAATTCTTACCTTTAGCGCCAACGTCCGTCACCGCCGCCACACAAACAAGCAGGAGAGGGAAATAATCTCTGATCGCGTTCATTCTCAACCGTTTCCCAGGTTTGCGTTTTTCGAGCTTTTAGTATAGTGAACGTCCTTGAGATCAACACTATTCCTCCGGAGGACTGAAGCACTGAGAGCTCCGCCGAACAGCGACTGCACGCACGAAGAAGAACGCGCTCCTATCGGTCACTTCAGCCCGGGCTCGCTGTCTGCCTCCACTCATTGACCGAGGCGATGATGGGCTTTCAGTGTCGCGCTGCCACTGTGACTGCAGACTGCACAGACCTCACACTGTCCTGACTGGATGACTGGAGCCTGTGGACTGCTGTCTGTGCTGGCCCGCTCTGAGTTCTGCTCCGCCGCCTGCCTTCAGAACCGCGGACAGCTCCTAGCGTTGGCCAATGGAACACACGAGAAGCAACGAAGTTCCAAGTTTGGGACGTTCCAAACTGACTCTTTAAATACGCACTTGTTTTGTTCAGACTCTCTAAATAACCCTTACCCATAGGATTAATGTTTGTTATTTTGACAAATGAAAAATGGCGTTTAAGAGTTTGTTCACTTCTTGAAAAAAGGACTCACTTTTGGCCTGTTTTTTCATATTTTCCCTATCCGTGCAACCATGGAATGGCAATCATTTTACCAGTGGTGAAAGAAGTACTTTTTACACTAAATTACATTACATGTCATTTAGGGGAGGCGTGTGGCGCAGTGGATTAGTGCGTTGGTGCTCGGATCAGGGGGTCACAGGTTCAAACCCCACTGCAGTCAGCATGTCGTTGTGTCCCTGAGACACTTCACCCCAAAGTGCTCCTGTGGGGATTGTCCACAGTATTGAGTATGTAAGTCGCTTTGGATAAAAGCGTCTAACAAGTAACATGTAATTTAGCTGAAGGGACTTACGTACAGACATGCCTACACAAGCAAGGTTTGTGTTAAGTATCAAGGACACTTTGACTGCAGAGTTTGGGGTTGAACCGCTGACCCTCTGATTGGTAGAGGCCCCTTTATCCCCTGAGCCACAGCCACCCCAAACTTGACTTCAGTCGACCCTGAAATGGTTTCTGTGTCCTTGGGGATTCATTGATTTGACAGACTGTGTCCATGTGTAATTACATTGTAATTGTGGTGCAATATGGGGTAATATGTGTGTTACATGGGTCTAATATGGGTGTAATAACAGTGTAATTACGGTGTCATATGGGTGTAAAATTGCTTTATTATATGATAATATTACATTATACACATGGATCTACATAACATCATCTGTAATGCTCCCTTTCAGTTGACATCATTATAAACACTCAGTTGCTATCGCATTGGGTACATGTCTTACGGTACGTCCACACAGCAGCTTTTCAAAAATCTTGAAAATCTTGGAACTGGGCGTGTCTGAAAGCTTGGGGATTTCGCGACCAACAACCAATCACATGAATCTCCCGCCCCCGACATACAAAGCAAAAAACCCCGGTTCTTCTCCACTATTTCTTTTTTTAACATTTTGAACATTTATGAGATTAATGTTTATGGTGCTATTTTATGCTACATTCCATGCTGGCTAATGATACTGTTTATGCTTGCTAGCAACGAAGTAAACTAGCAACGAAGTAAACTGGATATAAAATCCCCAAACAAGCGAAAACCTACCAGTTTCACCCACTGCCTCTGCCACCTCCCTCCATGCCTCGCTCCTCCGGTTTGTATCCCGGTAAGTAAATAGGGACTGGTCATAAAGAACCGGGTGATTTGCTACCGCAATAACTAACTTCTCCTCCATTTTTGTTGAATATAGAAATGAACTGCGGTCTGGTTCTCCCAGCTTGCACGCGGTTTGATTGGCTAGCGCTTGAACTGTCAGATTTGCATAAACGGATCTGATTGGCTGTCGCTTCCAGCTCAGCCTCAAAAGTTGAACATTGTTCAACTTTGGAATCCTGAACATCCTGGAAATCCTGGAAATCTTCGCCTCGCCCCCCCACAATGCAGTTTGGCGACAAGCGAGGGAAAGTGACGTCATCCCCATTCAAAGTCAATGGGCGGAGACGCGCTGGAAGCGGTGGACAAATCGCCAAAAGCTGCTGTGTGTACGGGCCGTTACAGCGATCAAGGTTCAAAGTAAAGACATTATTGAGTTGCATTATCTAAATTGTAGTTTAGCTTGGCATGTGCTATGGACTAAAAGCCAGGCTATCTCAGGCTCCATTCATTTTTTATCTGGCTTTCACAAATCCCCCAACTTGATGGAAGTGTAGTAATACATGTGTAGTGTCGCCCTCTTTGTGGGCTGCATTTTCTCATGACACTGAATGTTTGCAGCTTTTTCCATTATTTTGGTGTAGCCTTTGGAACACATGTTTGTGGTATAGAGGCACATACAGAGCCTTTTCTCTTGTAACATTACAAATGAGGGGAAACTCCCTCTGGAGGGGGCTTTGGGAGTCATTCCTTGCAGACCATTGAAATACCTAAACACCAATAAAACAAACGACAGGAAAGGGAAAACCACACTTAGCAAAATAAAGGCCTCTTCAAAACGTTGAAAGCAGGAGACAGAGCATTCTACTAATTCATAGAGCCTACAATAGCTTGATGAGCTAGCTAGTTACTATTGCTAGAATTGGCTAGCAACAGTTATTATTTCAGAAATGTTGGGTCAATCAATTGTAAAACAGAGCAATACAAATCAGCTATGTTGACATTTGGTTTGGAAGTGAACAGCTTTGAACACAAAGGCTTTACATTCAGAGGTGAATCATTTCTTCTCACGTGGAAGGAATCTGGAGAAAATCCTTCTCTGTGCTTTGCTGGCAATTACAAAGTATTAGCGATGTGGAAAGTCCTCGTGAACCAAATGTGATAAGCAATGACTAATGTAAGGAATGGAACCATACACAATGAGGATTACCAAGTTCAGTATGCAAATGATGCAGGCACTATATCATTGCTTACGTATTATGTGTTGGCCTGAATTCCTGTCAAAACAAGAAGAAGGAAAAAACAGAAAGCAACTCAAAGCCAAATGGAATGCTTTAATGAGTCCTTTACAGAGATTAGCGATACAATGACCTGCACATCTACATGTTTGCTCTCTGGAAATAGCTTCATCTGCATAAAAGAGAAGAACATGAATATGAACAGTGACCTTTTGGGAATAATTGCAGAACTGCTAGAGCTGTTTTCCACTCATTGATGAAATGTGCGTCTCATCTCTGAGCCGTGTTTGTAAATGTTCTTAATTCCTGTCTCCCTTCCTGCTTTGACTCACCTGCGTCAGCCAGCTTCTGCGTCTCTTACATCTATTGGTTTTGATTCGTCCCATACTGCTGCACCTCTGGCTACCCAGTGAAACCTCTGGCAGCTACGCTCAGCTTCTGAAGCTTTCGCAGTCAAGGTGCTGCAGCTCACCTCGCTGAGAAATGAAAACGTGTTGGAGCTCCTCAACACATTTGCTGTGATTTACACACCTTTGCCTCACAGCAGAAATGCTATTCATAGATTCAACACTGTGTAAAAGGCAAGTCCTGCACAGGCATTACTCATCACATTAAAGGCACAGTCGGCAGTATGTGGAGCACTCACATGTGAGCTCTATTTACATACAGCACAGGAACAGAGGAGATACAATATCATGTATCTGATATTTACCCAAAGTAACCAGGTGGACCAAATGCCAACCGAGGGCAGAGTGGTACCAGGAGTAAAGTTATCTGTAACATGGCTTAGTTAGATACTCATATCTGATTTGTTCATTTCGACATTCAGCGATACGTTCCTTTTTTCGCTAGCAGACCGTTGCTAAGGATAGCAGACCGTTGCTAAGGATAGCAGACCGTTGCTAAGGATAGCAGATTGTTGCTAATTGTTGCATATTCACTTTGATCATGAGACTGTGTGCAGTCATATCAATCTGCCAAAAGGAGTCAGGTTGTTTTAACGTCATCTTTAACCATAAAAACACATCAGAAAACACCATGGAATAATTAACAGTATTGAAAAAAAAAGAAAAGAAAAAACGGACTGGAAATAAGACAGACAGGAAGTAAACAATAAAGTGAATACGTCATGGGCTCATAGAGTGTTTAAAGACTGGTTGATTGAATACAATTTGAACAGGCCTCAACAGTTTTAAAGCAGAACACCTCGATCAGTAGGCTACTGCCGCCATTTTAAGTTACGTAGTTGTCCCCGTAGTTCCAGCCGTTGGGACGCCGTGGAACTGATTCTGCTTCAGAATCCTGCTCAACCTGTTGGTGTTCTTTTCTCAATAATGAACGTCGTGCTGCACCTTTTACTTACTCAAGCTTAGTTAAATATAGTATTAAGTGGTTGGCATTGTTCAAAGTTTAATGAAGAAATAAATAATTCAACGCATGTATCAACATGTTATGCCTTAAGGATAGAGAATGCATTTTTGGGCAAAAAACATGCATTTCTTTTTTTACAAGGAAAGTCCACAAAGCGCCTTTAATGATTATGACTAACGGCATCAGGGAAATTAGCAACTGTCTTCATTTGTGTAAATCCATGTATTATAGCAAGAGACGGCTCACACAACCTCTCTTTCACATTCTGAGCAGGATCATATATAATAATGAGATGTGATGGCAACAGAACGACTGCTTTAAGGCCTATTCAATGTTATCTATTCATCATGTTGTAAGGGTCATTTTTTACAAGGGGATTTGGTTTCTTTTAAGGAATTTATTTTCACGGATCAACACATTGCTCTATATAATTCCCATTCCCACTGGTGCAGTTCACTTATTATGCTACACATCTGGGACTATTTGTGTTTTGTAGGATGTGGGTCAGTTACATAGAAAGTGGGGCTTCAGGTCTCACTTCTTCTAAGAATCTTTCTTTGTGTCTCTCCCCCAGTTTAAAGATGTCTCTCCTACCTGCAGAGTAATTGTTGCCCTACTGTTGAATCTGCCAATCACAGTCTTAGCTGACAGCCAAGTCAAAAACCACAGCACTTCATTTCCCACAAATATTGCTTCATCTAGCAGAATGAAAGATATTTACATAAAAAGACGCGTATTTTCACATCACAGTATTCAGCAGCATATTACTTTGTACTGTATCTGCACAAATCATTTTAGAGTGACATATTTAATATGATGACATTGCTATTGAAGCTTCTTAAAGAAAGAGGAATTTTCAAGTCAAGAAGTGAATAAGAAAATGAAATGTCCTTTTGATATGTGATGTGAGAAAAGATTAACAGTGGGGCCAAAAGAAAAAATATTCAGTCTATCCGATCATCCATGGAACCCTTCTGTTATGTTTTTCCGGAAATGTATCCCCATGTTTTTATTGATTCCTATCCACTTGTACACCACAGACATTTAAGTTGTGTGCGCAAATTACAAA